GCTTGCTTGCTGTGTGCATGAATGCAACCGGGCCTGACGTTCTTGCTGTGGCTCGCCCAGTGGGCAAGAAGCGTCCGATCAGGGTTTGCTGCTAGCCGTTTTTTCCTGTTCGCTTCCAAGCTATTCAGCTTGACACACTGAAGCAAGGCGAGTCAGTGAGGTTGGTTGGGGGAGATTCCCTTCCGTAGAAGCGCTCACCGCGCCCATTGGCTTTACTCACTGATGCGCTGACTCTGACTGCCTCGTGAATGATGGTTGGGAGCGTGCTTGAGATCGGAAGAGCCACCTCGAGATCTGCTGGAGCACACGCAACGGGACGGCAAATGACGTCTTGACTTGTCTTGACGTGTCCGAGCAGAACCGCAACGGAATCAGCTACAGAAAAAGCCCGCCAAAAAAAGTATTTAGACGTCCAAAAACAGAATTAAGGAGAAATTTTGCCCACCCCTGTCTTCCCTCTCGCTACCGTGTGGACGACTTGATATCTGTGAACAAACAATTTGAACAACGATGCTGCGTGCTCTCAAGAAAAACCCGGGGGCTCCCGGACCCCCCCTTTCTTTCGGGTCGCCATACGTAGACTAGTGTTTGAATGCCGATATGAGGGGAGAGTGTTTCACCTGCTTGCCGGCGCGGCAGGCAGGTGAAACATACCTCCCTTGTTTCGTAGCTGGGTCACCTGTATCCGTAGGTCTATGAATGAATGAGTGATTGAGAGCGGCTCCCGTCACAGATCGTCCAGCTGATGCCTGCACTTGACTTTTAGTACGGCAACACCTTCCGACATCGGCGTTCTTCCCTTCTTTCGCCGGGTGCGGCGCGTTCTTTCAGCCGCTGGACACGAACGTGTCGGTTCTTGAACTATTGCTTATGCTGGGTTGGTTCGTCGCGACAGGGTTTAGCGCCCTAAACCCACTTGTTCGCAGCCTGCAGGAGGCCTTCCATCGTGCGGGATTCGTCTCACACCGTCCTGCCGTCCACAATCGCTTTGAGGTCCTCTGCTTGAGCGCGTAGGCGAAGTAAGTGGCTTTGGGGGCCACATACGGACTGTGTCTCTGCCAATGTCTCCCGTCTGTTGCAGTACGTTCTGCCCGTCCCTGAAGTCTGCGGTCACTGCCGCTAGTGATGTGCTCCTGCGTAATATGGTTGCCTATGCCGGCGGCCCACTGAGGGAACCAAAGCAAATCAATCCCGTGCCTCCAGTCGGTTTGGTCGTCTCTCACCGCCTTGCATATCTATTCGCCTGCCTGATTCTGGCCTTTGCGTGTTGCCTGTTGCATGTTGGATGGACACACATGGGATCATGCATTCCGAGTCCAGGTTCGCAAACCGAACTGTTACATCCCGGTTTCGAGCTCACTTTCTGTGGAACGGAATGGAGGGAGGTCTTTCAGCAGCACGAAGGTGTGTGGCTATTGGCGATCTCACACATGAGATGTCTGCGACCGGATGATGGTGTAAGGAATGAAGTGAGTTTCGACAAGCGAGTATAGTAGACAGGCATGATTCAGAAGTGACTTCGGGGAAGCACACAGCTCATGCATTTGTCCGTATGCGCACATCCATTCTAAATCCCGAAAGAGGTAGGCCGGAAGATGCACACGAAAGCTCTTATCCTTTTTTCCCTGAGGAGTAAGGTTTCTTTGAGATGTAAGGTTTCCTGAGGTGTAAAGGACCACGCGACCTTGATGAGACAACAGAGATCGTGTGGTCTGTGTCCGAGAGCAGTTCTGACTATAATTACCCTGCTAATCGGGCAAGCTGGAGGTGTTACTTGAGGAGCTGTCTTGCCAGTCCTTCGTCTGGTTTCGGCCGGACCTTTCCGTGGTGTGGACGATTTCCGTTGTGTTTGTACCGGCGAGTTCGCACAATGCACGGAATTTGTGTCTGCATACTTCATCACCCACGACGCCGTGCGGCAGGAGGGGCTCTAAGTCGGTATTGACCAGCCCCCCCGGCCAAATCGAGCTGATATAGTAGGTGCACTTCTGACCCTCATTCCGATAGTTGTCGGGCTGCCTCGTGGGGCTACCCCCCCACCAATTTGTGCCTACATAATGCACAAGACACGAGACGCCTCACAGGCAGGGAGGGTGCACATTATGTCCAACGGTCAATTTAGACACGTACCGAAAAACCATGGCGCAGCCCTTCCTTTTGGATTGCTTGCAAATGTCCAGCACCTGTGGTCAAGGCGCTGAGTGGCGGGATCGCATTCCTGTAAGCCACACGACACGAACCACCAATTTCCACACAGAAATCGCAGCAATTTGGGCGCAGTCCCGAAAGTATATATGCGTCTGCAAACCTCTCTCATGACGATGCCGATAAGGAAAATGATGTCTTTTTTCCTGCCGCCAACATCTCGCGTAGTATTGAACATTGACTCCAAATCAGCCTACGCCAAAACAGGCAGCAAAACGTCAGGGAGGAGTCGACTAAACCGTTTTCCTGCTCTTACGACGCTCGATGGTTCCGCAAGCTTGCCACCTCTCGCCCGACACCTCTCCTGGTGGCCGAAATAGTCATCATACTCGGGCTGGATCTCATAGCGGAAATAGCGGTCTCGTGTGGTGTTGTCGGACTGTGTGCGGGAGGGATGCCCAGGATATATACCCTTAGTAACAATAGTAGCAGTTAAAACTAGAGCCAGTAAGAACAAACTGTGGAGGGCCATGTCTTGTGCCGAAGCCCTCATGACGTTAAACGGTCGATCACTCGTTCTATTTCGACCGCCTCAGCTCTGAGACCACTCACGCTGGAATACTGACTTTCTGGACTCGTCTCAGCTTGCTGAGGGAGGCGCTCTTACCTTACCTTCGGTCCCGACGTTATGGGGCCTGGATGTATGCATGCGCTCGCCCTGGGCTCGTGCGTGCGCGGGTTGCCTGTGTATTGTGTTTGGCCTCTTGGTTTTGGCCCATTGTATCCACGCTTGGTTTTGATGGCGATCGGTACGATGTTGGCCATACCCATTGCAGTGGGCTGGATCTGCATGCATCCGTTTTACGGTGCTACAGCTCGCGCACCATGACCAACAGAGCACCGCGCCTGGGGCACCTGTTTGGCTATACAGGTACGTATCCGTGCACCTCATGCACACTTCTATCCATCCACCTATCACTCTCATGTGTCGCGTGGCTGCAGTGTGTTCGGTGTGCTCGACTGGCATGGCGTGAGCATTGGCTGCCATCAGATCGGGGTCGTAGCCCTACTCGTTGGTACGGATCTACACCATACTCACTCGTTGGGCCACGACCATGCTCACATCTGGCCTGTGTTGCATCGTATTCGAAACCCCGGCGGTAGGTGGGCCGGGGGATGCACACGACAGCTGTAGTCCTTTTTCATCTAGTTTGAATGGATAAATCATCTCACCGGTAGACAGAAACCCGCCAATTTGCGTAGTCTTGACGGATTAGTAAGGTCGGCTGGTGTGTGTCTCTGCTTCTGGTTTTCGTGCCGTCCCCCAGTGCCCTTGAGCCGTCCAGGTATGAATCGCTGTTGCCGCTCACAGATTCCACAGAGAGCGCCGCGCCATTGTTGGCGGTGCAGCTGTCAAGGGATCCGTAGGAGCTTGTTTATTCTGACAGCGAGTTGGATCATGTGAATGCGAAATGTATGTGCACAAAAGCGAAAGCTGTGTCTTGCTACATCCTTCTGTATCGGTCTGTCGGAAAAGGACAGATCGTCTACATGGTTGGACAGTCCCTCCGCCCTTCGTTTCTCTCCATCCCCCGTCATCTATTAGTGTGTTGCGCAGGTTTCTGCCTGCTAAACTAGCCCATCCACAGTGCTGCATCTAGATGACTTCGATCTGGCAGATGCAGCGGAGACGGTTGCATCTTCTGCTTGTGGGCATACCTATAACTACCTATAACACATACGTATATATGCAGCGAAAATCCCGGCGTCTCGCTGTCCTCGAATTCATTCATGTATGTGCTGCATGTCGTGTGCCTTTCTGTGGCAGGCTGGGAGGAGTGGCTGGGTAATAGTAAGAAGAACGGGCTCTTTCGTCAATCTGACTGCAGAGACGTCTGAGACACGGCTTGTGAGCGATGATTGGGCTTTGTAAGCGGAAGATAGAGGTACTCTGCTTAGGTATGCCGACCGACCTAGACACACATTCACCTTGTCTTATCTAGGCGTCTTTGCCTACATCGGAACATTCGGCGATTAATGAAGTATGAATGCCCAAGGGTCACAGTATATGTGAGCCCAGACTTCCTTCCCTTCAAGAAAAGGGGCGTTAGCAGCTGCGACACGAGAGCACACAGCTCACAGGTACCTCGTTGAGCACCTCAAGTGGATCGACGATGAACGAGTGGTACGCTTGACGGGACAGCGAGCACTCTTACGCAACCTACGCCGACCGCACCGCTTACGGGAGGTGCAGAAAACGCTGCATCCATCGCCTTCCACATGAGCCGAGTTCGGCGGTGAACAGAGGGGAAGTAGAGTCATATGCATGATGGAAACCAACAGAGCGGTGTGGTCTACGGACGCTAATCCACACGTGTCTCCGAAGCCACGCGATGTGTTGGCCGTCAAAGGACGAGGTAGCAAGCTCAAGACAGCATCACAGCACTGCCCGCTTGCGTGTGAATACAGCATAGCGAGATGCTTCACGGATTAACACAATCGTGCTGATTTAGGTCCACGGCTGTGTCAACTTTCGGTGGCTGGTTCTCTTTCTCAAGACGGCGCAGGGCAATGGCCGCTGGCGTGCAGACACAGCATGACGAGATGTATCAGACATCCGTGCTTTTGCATCGCATGAATGAGAGTCCCGAGAGAAATCAGCAGCAAACCCCAAATTTCGTGTATCCGACACCAGTTTTCGCCACTTTTTGCGCCAACAAGAGGGCGCAATTGCAATTGGAAGCAAACTCGTTTCTCGCAGTGTCCGTGCGCATATATTTCATCAACCAGACCTTAAAGCGTGTGCATGGAGATTGCGGTTGAGTTAGCGGTGCGCAAGTTTTCAGCGGCTACGGTCTCGTTTGCGGGGGTGAAGAGCGACGGCCGCTTGCGTGCGAACAGAGCGTAGAGCAGTGTGCCGTGAACGATATATTGTGTTTGACTCAGGTTGATGGCTGTGTAAACTTTCAGTGAGCGGTTCTTCTTTTTGACGAAACGAAAAGCCATTAGCGCTTGCGTGTGAACATTACATAGCGAAATGTATCATGCATTGCCCTCCCGCACGCAACCGTCTCGCAGCGATGCATCTGCGGCGGGGAGGTGGACAAGTTTGGCGATCACTTCTACCTGTGTCACACGGGCCGTGAGCGAGTCACGAGACACAACAACATGCGCAACTTGTTTGTTCGCATCCTGGCTGAAGCAGACGTTCCCTCCAATGTGGAGGTGTCTCTGCACAGCCTCGGCATCACCCCGCCTGACGACAACCCCAACAACCAGCGCATGG